AAAATCACATTAACTAAGCTTTTAAGGCAATTAAGAAACGCATAATTTGGTCACAAAAATACAAATTATATCATTTAAAACAAAAATAATTTCAATCATAACATAATTTACACAAAAACTGTTTAATTCCCTAAATATAAGGCTATATTTAAAATGTATGGATTGTCTACAAGAATGTCTACTCAAATCAAGAAGCAATTGAATTAATTCAGTGGCCATTAGTTTGGGTAAAAATCAACAGTCATTTCACCAAAACATAAACCGGCCATTAATTTGTACTCAAATGTGTTTGACTTCAATTTGTATATAACTGGCACTAAATTAAAAACAAATTTAACTAATTATAGCTCGTCTTTGACTACTGGCCGGTCAGGTATGTCCTTATTATCGGAGTTTACAATAATGTGGTGATAATAGTTGACTGTTTTTAAATAATTGTCAACTTTGATTCGCTCGTTATGGCCGTGAAATCTATGACAACAACAAAATAGACAAACAATCAGTTTCACAGGTCTAAAGACAATATCAATGGGATCTACCTTTTGGTGTCCTCTGCATACATAACGGACGGCGAGAACCTATATATAGCTCGTGTCAAATGCTGATACCATCTGTTGAATTGGGGCAACAAATAAAAGCATTAAAATACAGACATTAAAGACAAGAATCGCTGGCAAACCTGGTGTCAGTGTTGGCCAACATAATGCCGGGCACGACCACCGACTCGTTGAACACTTGTCTAATACTTCGTTTGACTATTTGATAGCCGAATGCGTTGTCATCGTATGGAGAGATGGGATGCGGATGAATGGGCATTCCCTCGACGGTCAGCTCTATGCGATCGTCGCTAATCAGGCGGCGATCAAAGTCGAGCACTTCGTCGATGGTCTGCTTGACGTGTACGCGATGGTTGACGATAGCGGAGGCAGAGCTCGGCAGCACATTCTCCTACAGGCGCCACAAAATAATATATCATACATTTGATTAAATTCTGGTGATTTAAATCCCTAATCAACTCATACTTTAAATCCGCCGCCAATTATGGTGACAGCACTGGTCGTCCGGACCAAACCATTAGACGTCGGAACGGCCGCCAAAACCCGCGAAATGATTGGCCCAAAAAGCCATAAATTACTGTACAACCAATTAAAGGGGAAATTGGCCTAAAAATCAATAAATGTCAGTAATTTTATAATAATTTCACGTCTAATGGACTAACATTGGGAGCCAATGCCTCGAAGAGATCCTTTTCGGGACCCAATCCAAACATATTCGGGTGAACTGTCGACTCAAACCTGGTATTCAAGCATACAATTAGTTAATAACATTAAATACGATTAAGTGTTAACATAAATACACTTTAATGTTAACGACAAAACAAATTAATTACTTTGAGATGGCTTTGGCGAGTGTAGTGATGGCGGTGTCGACGGGTGCCATCGACGAGTGGCCCACCGCTCCCTTAGCGGTGAGCCGTACGGTTAGGTAGCCTTTCTCAGTGACGCCGATGAGGGCCACTATCGGGTCGACGCCGACAAACGTCTTGTTCAATATAATGGTTCCCTCGTCGAGCAGATACTCCAAAGTGGTCACCCCTTTAGACTCGAGTGCTTTGGCCAAGTGTTGCGCGCCGTCCAATCCCAGGGCCTCCTCGTCGTGACCAAACGCCATGTAAAACCCGCGCTTAGGTTTGAAGCCATTCTTCAGCAGATACTCCAACGACTCGAACGCTGCCTAAGAATAGATCCCATGGGTTAATCATCGATACGACCGCCGCAGCAGTGGTGATGAACGAGACATACCATCACTATATTCTTGACATCAGTGGTTCCCCTGCCGTATATGAAACCGTCTTTAATGACACCATCAAACGGGTCGACATCCCATTTGTCTAACTCGACGGGAACCACATCCAAGTGGCCGCACAACAGGTACGGCTTCAGCGACCGGTCGGACCCCTTCACCGTATATAAGAGGCTGTAATTGTTGACCAACTCGTAAGACACGTGCGGCGATGAGTGGATTGTCGGATAGCCTGGCGAGTGATGACACATGTAATGAGACAATTGGTTAGACATACAAAAGAGATGATAAGAGCGTTGAATTTGACAATACTTTTGATGATCCAATCGATGTATCGTTTAAGCTCAAGAGTGTCATAGATATGGGCGGCTTTGGTGATTGTCTTGAAGCGAAGAGCGGCCCGAAACCGGTCGACAACCGCCGAACCGGCGATCGGTTCGTGAAGATCGGGACACGAGTCGATCTCTTTGGGCGCCGGGAAGTAGACTATCGTCCGGACAATTGTCACCAATAGGACCAGCAATAGTGCCGACAGACTATATGCGATCACTTTTGTCACTAATTTCATGATTGGCCGCAAAAAACAATACTTAAAACTAATTGAAAACTAAAACTAAATAAAATTGACGAGACTTTCACTACAAGTGGAAAATAGTAGATAACTTTTCAGACGGATATATGTCTATGAATTGGCAATTTTTTCACATAGATGTTAACGAGTAGTACACTATATATATGTGTGTTATAAATGACTTGCAATCTGATCCCAAGAGTACATTAAGTGACATTCACTGACACCACAAACAAAGGCATTAATTGTTTGTTTGCATTGAAGGGAAAAAGTGAGTGATTATAGCGTTTGCGATACACTTGTGGTGAAGACAGAGATAACAACACATATAACACAACTGTCTATTAATACTCACATATAGTGTAGTGTTTGAGTGTCTGTTAGTATTTTCAGTGCATTTTTAATCACACATTCGTTTCAATTGGTTTTGAATTGAATTAATAAATCATTTGTTGTATTGATATTGAAATCGCATTGTATTTCAATGAGAGACCGATTGGTTTGAGTGACAGTCAGCTGTTTATCACACCATAGGCTCACGTTTTGTGTAGAAATTACGTTCACTTTTGAAACAAAAGTTTGTAAAACTTGTATAACGTTAACGAAATTTAATAGTAATCTCTAAATCAATGTTTAATCGCAAACAAATCAATGCATTTGAGTTAATGGTATCTTTTATAACACATTTATTTACTTAATAATCATTTATTTATTACATATTTATTATGCACGTAGAAAAATATATTTAATAAAGTGTGAAATAATGTACTTTCAAAGTATTTTCAGTCCAACACTTGAAATAATTTTCTAATCAATTTTGTGGTTTCAAATGTATGGCAATCCTGTACTCGAGATAATGGCATTAAGTGATAATATGGACTAATGTGGTAACTTAATGCTATATCATGGTACATTTGTTTCCATGCTAAAATGATGTCTGATTTTGCGTTCAGAATGGGTCCAGAGATCAAAGTGGATACAAACCCTATGTAATTGTTTATTTGAATTCATTTCTCAAAATTGCTGTACTTTTCGCACACATGAAAACCATTGGTTTCTCTCATTTCTCTCAATGTCTCCAAATAATAGCCTATTGTTTGCCATTATTTGCATTTCTCTGTCATTACAATGAATGCCATAAAAGTTGTCATTTCAAACATTCAATTCATACTCACATATTGCAAATCCAATCACCGAATGGCAAACGAATAGCAAACCAAACAAATAGTTATCGGGATATCAAGTAATTTTCAATACAATTCAATCCAACATAAATCCGTGCAAACATTTATTTGGTTAAAAAACTATAAATATAAAGTTGCTAGGTTAATTTGCAAGCTCCTCCCCGCCCCCGGTGCTCTAAGATGCCTAGATGCTTGGACATTTTAATTAC